ATGTCATTATATGTCATCATGATCTCTTGCTTCAAATGAGATCAGACAATTGCGACTGCTGTAGTTATGCCAGTTGCATTATATATAATGTGGCAATAGGATTGTAACTGGACTGTGCATTTACACAGTGGCCATATTCTATGTAAACATACAAAAACAACAGTAGCATTATACCAGATACTGTAAAAAAGGTCATTCCCAGCCACTAGACTTTTCTGACAGGGTATCTGAGTGTCATCGAGTGACAGAATATTGTGGGACTGCGGGAGTTATGATTAGTAATTAGAGTGAAATTTAGATGTTTTTATTTAAAAAAAATTTTTTCTAAAAGCATGACAGTAAAACTTGAACGACATCATGAATATATTAACGCGTGCGTATTTGTTGTAAAAATTCGTAATCTTTTTTTTTTTTTGGTCATGGAATTTTTATTCTTGCAAATAGCATTTTACATTTTATAACAATCCACAAAACAATCTCCAAACAAAACAATCAACATCTACAAATGAATAAATAAATAAATAAATAAATAAATAAATAAATAAAATAAACAAAATAATAATAAATAAAATAAAATACAAATACAGAAAAAAAATTACAATAACAAACCATATACATACATACATACACATGTACCTTCACTCAATCCACATCTAAGGTTTTTAAGTGATTAAAGAATGCAATAAATTGTTGCATTCAAAATTCAATTGTTTTCAAAAAATGTTCTCCCCTACCTCTGATATTGTATTTAATTTTCTTAAGTTTTAAAATGAGACCAAATCTTTGAGCCACAATGAAATAGAGGGGGGTTGTAGGGAGGTCCAAGACAAAAGTATTCTGCGCCTAGCGGAAAGAGATGTAAAAGCCACAATGTCAGCGTGTCTCCGGTTTAAAGGTTGGCACTGAGAGGAAACACCAAAGATCGCGATTAAAGGGCAAACAGCTAACTTGACCCCCAGAATATCTGAAACAAATTTAAAGAAAGGAATCCAGTAATTTTGCAACTTGGGACAAAATACAAACATGTGACTAAGGTTAAAAAAATACTAATTTGTGCATCTCCTTACTTTTATGTGTAGCCATGCTGCTGTTGGAGATGGTGTATTCTGGGAAATTTTTGTACCCCTTAGTTTCGAGTGTGGTTCTGACAAATCTCCATTTCAAGGGGTATCTAGTCCTTCCCCTTAGCCCTACGCCTTCAAGCTAAATGGAATTAGAACACCCTACCTCTTTTGAATGTGCAAAACGAGGGGTAGGGATAAGGGCTAAGGCGTAAAATTGCGAATGGGCCTAATAGTTTTGCTAGGCAAACTTAATTTCACATTTAACAATTTTATTGTAATCTTAATTTTGTTACATCAAGTTATTGTGTACAAGAAAAACCAAGTATCCATAAGTAAATATAACTAATTTAGAAAGCCAGTTTTCAACATATTCTTAATACGTTTTATTATAGTTATTTAAGAGCAATGAAAAAAGCTGACAAAATATTGTTATTTTATTTAATATTATTAACACAATGAAGCATAATTTTCTGTGCACTCGCAGTTTTGTTTGAAAGCAAGACCCATGAGTTTTCTCTTTCATCTACTATTGGTGTCAAAGGCTTTTATTTTATGTTTCATTGCGCAGGAGTTCTGCCTGACTTTTTGCCAACAAAATAGCAAGGCTAAGGTTTCATTAGTAAATGTATTTGCTTACAAAAATGAATTATCAACAATGTTTCTACAGCATTTGTTAATCACAGTTGCACATTTACATTATTAACATTCAAATGAATGCTTGTTAACATTAGTTAATGGACCATAAGTTAAAATGAACAAAGGCAAGGCAAGTTTATATGGCACATTTCATACACAATGGTAATTTGTGTAATAAAGTGCTTTACATAAACAAGCATAAAAGACAAAAGAAATTGAAAGGATTAAAAATGGTTAAAAACAGATAAACACAGAATGTGTTAAAACAGGTTATAGAAGAATGTAAAAGAAAAGAAAGACATAATAGTGTGATCTGTTGGATGCAGCATAGTGCTCATTTGGTAAAGGCGCCGCTAAACAGATGTGTTTTTTTTAAGCCTAAATTTAAATGTGCCTAATGTTGAAGCCCATCTGATAATTTCTGGAAGGTGATTCCAGCAGCGGGGGTGCAGCAGCTGAAGGCCAATTCACCCTGCTTTGAATGAACTCTAGGAATTTCTCATTTACTTGATCCTAAAGATCTGAGTGATCTAGGTTTGTATTCAGTGAGCGTATTCTATAATGTATTGAGGTCTTAGGTCATTTAGTGATTTATAGACAAGTAGTAATGCTTTAAAATCTATTCTGAACGTAACTAGGAGCCAGTGTAAAGACCTGAAGACAGGTGTGATGTTCTCTGATTTTTCTGGTTCTGGTCAGATTCCTAGCTGCAGCGTTCTGGATGAGCTGCAACTCTCTGCAACTAACAACAAACAACTGTAATTCATGTACTATCATTAACTAACATAAACAAATACTTTAAGAAATGTGTTGTTCTTTGTTTGTTAATTTTAGTAAATGCATTAACTAATACAACCTTATTGTTGCGTTACAAAAAAAGCATTTACAATGGCTTTATTAATAACAGGAGATGACCGTCTGCCTGCCAATTTTTCACTACTTGCACTGTCATGTTATGACTCAGAACCCAGCCTCAGAATCCAGCCTTCTCTCTCTCTTAGGGCTGAAATGTATTGCAGCAGACAGATACACTGACATCAGGGAATACTTAGGATTGATTACAGATCCCATTCTCCACAGAGAGAAGGAGGAGAAGAGAGAGAAAGCGTGAAGCTCCTCTCCTGTGGCCTTGTTTCTTTTCTCAATGAGCGTGTCTGACAGATCTCCAATTTGGTGCCTCTGTCACCGTCTTGCCCCCTAGTTTACTGATGTAATCTGTTTTACTTAATCTGATGTAATATGGTGAGCAAATAATGAGAAAGGTCATTTTTGGCTGAAACACTCAAAACAAACAAATCATTTTGCTGCTTGTTCAAACCACTTATTTAAAAGGAGTTGAAACAGCACAAGTCTTAAGTTGTTTTTGGGACAACCTTAATATTTTGGTTCAATTCACTTTAATTTGTAAGAATCCATGCCTGCCACCCTCCCGTTTTGTTATTTCTCCCGGAAAACTCCCGTAATTTCACTCACCCCCTCCCCCCCGGTCCTCAGCTTTTTGATACAGTCTGTAATACCCCTGGGTCACCAACTTTGGTATATTCCATTGTAGTAAAGTAGTACACCACAGTAAAGTTATTAACCTGGTTCTTTACCGTGTTATTCAGACATCTCACCCCCGAACACCCCACCCTTCCCCCTCCCCCCAGTCTCCCAGATATTCAGAGATAAATGTTGGCAGGTATGACTTAATCGATCTGTGTTGGGGCAACATGAAGGAATTGTGTGGAACCTAGCATTTTTTACAGTGAACATTGTCATCAAGTGAAGTTTTTCAAACTAATTTCGAGAGGAGCACGTGATATGATTGACTGCAGCTGGCCTCCCATCTAGATTATATTAGATTAGATTCAACTTTATTGTCATTACACATGTACAAGTACAATGCAACGAAATGCAGTTTAGGTCTAACCAGCAGTGCAATAGCAGCAAGTGCAGGATACAGGAATAAGTTATAAAGTGCAGTTATAGAAAACTGTGGTGATATTTACAGATGGATGTACTATGAACATTACAGTATATACAGGTTGGATAAGCTATGAACAGATTTACAATATATGAATATATGTGCAGGTTGCTATTAATAATCAGTAGTGTGCAGATAGATAAACATGATTACAAGTGAATATGTTACAATATTTGAATATATGTACAGTCAGGGATAGATGAACATGATTACAAGTGTATATGTAACAATATATGAATATATGTACAGGGATAGATAAACATGATTACAAGTGTATATGTAACAATATATGAATATATGTACAGGTTGCTATTAATAATCAGTAGTATGCAGATAAATAAGCATGATTACAAGTGTATATGTATAGTGGGTGTGTACATAATTACAAATGCCCATATGCAGTGGGTATGTACAGTTTAATAAGTAAACAGTTCAATGTGGTGCAGTGAATGTGCAAATTTTAAACGTGCAAATGTTAAACAGTGCAGTGATTGCGAGGAGTTTAAGTTAGAGGATAGTGGGGGGTGTATTGGGGGGGGGCAAAAGAGTCAGTGGGGGGCACAAGAGTCAGTGTGGGGCAGAGTTCAGGAGGGAGACAGCTCTGGGGAAAAAGCTGTTCCTCAGTCTGCTGGTTTTTGTCCGGGGGAGCCAGAAGCGCCTGCCGGAGGGCAGGAGAGAAAACTGTCTGTGAGCGGGGTGAAAGATGTCCTTCAGAATACTGCGTGCTCGGCGCAAACAGTGTTTCTTCTGGATGTCCCCTATGGCTGGCAGTGTGGTCCCTGTGATGCGTTGGGCAGTTTTCACCACCCGCTGCAGTGCCTTACGCTCAGCAACAGAGCAGCTTCCATACCAGACTGTGACACAGTTTGTCAGGATGCTCTCTATTGTGCAGCGGTAGAAGTTCACCAAGACGGCTGATGAAAGCTGGTTCTTCTTCAGTTGCCTTAAGAAGAATAGGCGCTGGTGAGCCTTCTTGATCAGGCTGGAGGTGTTGGTGGTCCAGGAAAGGTCCTTTGAGATGTGGGTCCCCAGGAACTTAACTCATTAGTTAGCCAATCAGATCTATCCTAACTCACAATAAGTAGCCTAGCTAGATTTACTCCTTTGTTTTCCGAAGAAACCCCCCATCCTCCCCTTTCTCCTCCTATCCTCCTTTAAAAAAGGGGAGCTCTCGAGAACCACCTGATCTCGACCTAGTGGGAGCCCTGGCCTCAACTATCTCCAAGCTCAGGGTTCTCTCCCAGGACCACATGCCAAACCTGCTAACAGTTGTCATGCAATATCTAAGTGTGAACTCTTGACACTTTTTTTGTCTTCTTTTGTGTGTTTTGCAGCTGGTGGCTGTGAGAATGAGGAGCGCGTGTTCCGAGAACGCATGCGTCCCAGGAAGAGGCAGGGAGCTGTCCGGAGAAGAGTACATCAAGTCAACGGACACAAGTTCATGGCCACCTACCTGAGACAGCCCACCTACTGCTCACACTGCCGCGATTTCATCTGGTGAGAAATTTACCGCCTTGTAGCTTGCTGTTTGTACAGCTGCCTCAGCTGGTAAATCTGTGTCTAAGCTTCACATAGCTAGTGTACACTGTCCCTATTCGTGAGTCCATTCACGGGTGTTTTATCCTCAGTGGGTTGCGTTTCCATGGTAATGTCAGGAAAAGCCCTGGGGCTCAGAGCGACAGCGCTTCAGTACAAGTGTACTGAGTGTGTTTGGCCTACACCACACTGTGCTAGTATACCACCACGTATAGGCACACTGTGTCCTGCCTCCTCGGAGAACAGAGGAACATGGCCTTTTTAAAGGTGACATATTATGAAAATCTGATGTTTAAGTGCTTTAATCAAGCCCCTGGTGAATCTACCAAACCAGAAAATGTGAACAGGACAACCTTGTAAATATGTTTTGGTAAGCCTTTTTCTGCAACCATACAGAAAAGTGTGCCGTTCATATATCTATTCCCCAGTGATGCTGGAAATGGATCTGATTATATAATGCTGAAGAATAAATCTTTTAATAAAAATAAGGGGGGTAGAGTCCTCAATGTTACAATTCAAGTAATGAAAGATTACAAACTGATGTATTATTATTGTCAAGAAATAAATGGAAAACTTAAAGTTTTCTCATAATGCTAAATATAAATATGACATCCAGTGAGAAATAAATTAGCCAGTAACTTGTTACATGTTGTATGTTAATTTACCTTATTCTTACATGCAGCAGTTCGCTCATTTTTGCGATTGTTTTAGAACTTTCGATTCAGCTAGGATAAATGACTAGCAATAATAACCCGTAGAAAACGGTCAAATTACTTGCTCTATAAACAAATGTTTGCATGATTATACAGACAAATCGGTAACACTTTATAATAACTACACACTATAAATCATTTACTAAGCATTAGTATCTAGTGAATTCATTATTTGTTAAGCATTAACTCTACATTAATAAGTGTTAGTAAGCAGTTCATAACTGCAGCTACAAATGCTGTATTCTTGTCTTATAAGCACCTACTGTATATAATGTGTTTAATAATTGCATTTTCATACTTAGTTAATGATTTATATTTAAATACTAAATTAAGTATTGCATTATTTACAAACCAGTTGTATTTAAGAGTAGTTGAGGGTTTTTAGAATCATTCAGAATGAGTTATTAAATGATTAATAACCTATTGAAATCAACGTTTGTATGTGTTATTATTCAGACATATACTAATAGTTAACTAATATGTTAGTAAATGCTTTATTAACTCAACTTCATGCAGTTTTGTGACCTAATCTAAAGTGAGGACTATTCATGCTTTATAAATCACTTATAAATGACTATTAAAGACTCAGAATCAAATGAACAATAATCTTTGCAATCTTTTATAAAAAGTAAAATTACTGTAAACTGGATAAAACAACAACAACAATATAATAAGTTAACATTATAATAAGATGCAATGTTTAAACTCTACAGTGAAATTTATTTTTTATTTGAAGTACAGTTTCATTTGTATTTCTTTAAATGAATAGGAATGAATAATGTCATTTTTCCTGTTTAGAATTTAACTGAGCATTTTAATTGTCATTTATAAGGGATTTATAAAACATAAATAGTCCTCACTTTAGATTAGGTCACAAAACTAGATGAAGTTGAGTTAATAAAGCATTTAATAATATACATACAGTAGTAACCATTAATATATGCCTACATAATAAGACATATAAATGTTGATTTCAATAGTTTATTAATCATTTACTAACTCATTTTGAATGAATCTTCAACTACTCTTAAATACAAATGGTTTGTAAATAATGCAATACTTATATTAGCAATGAAAAATAAGTCATTAACTAAGTATGAAAGTACACTCATTAAGCACATTATATAGCTGCTTATAAGAATAGAGAATTTGTAGCTGCAGTTATAAACTGCTTACTAACGTTTATTAATGTAGGGTTAATGCTTAACAGATAATGAATTCACTATTTGCTAATGCTTAATAAATGATTTATAGTGTGTAGTTATTATAAAGTGTTACGGACAAATCGGTATGATATAATAAGAAAATGTCAGTTTGCAACATCAAGCAGCATAACGAGCTGTTTTTAACATCTAAAAATGAATGAAAGTGAATGAGAGCTGAAGTCTTGAGCTACAAATGGCTGTGCCTGCTCTTACGCGAAGAATAAAGCGAATATAATAATTGTGTTATAAGTTAGTATAGGTATATACTATAAGTTAGTATCATAACTTGACAAAGTGACAGGAATCAATCAATTCAAAGTTGATGAAATCAAATGATGAAATGTTCTAGAATGGAAATGGGAGGAAAGCAGCGGTTTATTTTGTGTATTCCATTTATTTTTGTTGTTCAGTGTTATGACTGGTTATTTAAAAGGTTACATGATCATTCATTCATTCATGTCCAATCCATGCTATATACAATAAATGTTGTGTATTTAGTGTCGCTGTATAGAAAAGAGCAATAACTAATCACCTTTCATTCACTTCACAGGGGTGTATTAGGAAAGCAAGGTTATCAGTGTCAAGGTAAGTGAACAACATAAAATGTTCCTATATTAGAGTTTCATGTTTTCAAACATTTGCAAACTTTAAAATCTCAACCTAAACATTTCAGTTGGAATAATTAAACCTAAATTTTGCCATTATAGGGTAATGCTGTGATTTCATATTTTGTATTCTTTCTTTTGGTAGAAGTCTAGACATCCTTTTTAACCTTTAAATTAGTGCAAAAAAGTAATACGCTACTGTACTCGACTAACAAAAGTGTCACACGTAAATAATGTTCAGGTGAATCCAAGTGCGAGTGATCAAAATAATAATTTATTAACACAGTCAAAACAAAAGCAAGGAATGAGTGCGGTGCTAGAACTAGGAGAAACAGGGCAGGAATCAGGCAGGAAACATGGTCCAGTAAAAACTCCTCAGGTCGTTAGCACAGACAAGATAGCACCAAAAGCACACGTAACGAACTGACAATGAAACACTAAACACGTAGCACATATATAGGCACGATAATGAGTATCAGCTGGCGAACAATCAATCCAGCTGAGTGCCGTCATGACACGTGACCAAAACAAATACACGTGGGCCACAAAAACAAAACAAACCCACATGCTCAAACAGACACTCCGGAAGAGCGCACAAACCTGCAACCGTGACAAAAAGTATACAATTCTTACTTTTTTCATCATAAAATCAAATCAAATTTATTCATCTATTGATACAACTTGCTTTTGTATGGGCACATATCTGCAGTAGTGAAAAGTTAAACATACTATAGATTTTTAATAATTGCATGAATTCAAATGTCACTTACAGTTTTCATTTAACACAAATTTTTTTGCCAAAATCTAAGTTAGCATGCAGAATTATAAACACAATGAGGCTGTTAGAGTGACTTGTGATAGTAGATTTTACCATGATGACAACCTTCAAACTAACAAAACAATGAAATATCAATATACACTCACCGGCAACATTAGTAGGTACACCTTAGTACCGAGTTGGACCTCCTTTTGCCTTCAGTACTCCCTTAATCCTTCGTGACATAGGTTCAACAAGGTACTGGAAATATTACTCAGAGATTTTGGTCCATATTGACATGATAGCATCACACAGTTGCTGCAGATTTGTCAGCTGCACATCCATGATGCATGTCTCCCCTTTCAAAACATCTGTGGAGGCCATTTGAGTACAGTGTCTCTCATTGTCATGTTATAGAAACCAGTCTGAGATGATTCACACTTTATGACATGGTGTGGTATCCTGCTGGAATTAGCCGTCAGAAGATGAGTACACTGTGATCATAAAGGAATGGACATGGTCAGCAACAATTCTCGGGTAGGCTGTGGTGTTGACATGATGCGATGAGTTGGTACTAATGAGCCTAATGGGTGCCAAGAAAATATCCCCCACATGATTACACCACCACCAGCAACCTAAAATATTGATACAAGACAGGATGGATCGATGCTCTCCTGTTGTTTTCGCCAAATTCTGACCCTACCATCTGAATGTCACAGCAGAAATCAAGACTCATCAGACCAGGCAACGTTTTTCCAATCTTCCACTGTCCAATTTCGGTAAGCCTTTGCGATTTGTAGCCTCAGTTTCCTTTTCTTAGCTGACACGAGTGGCACTATCTTCTGGCCTTCTGCTGCTGTAGCCCATCCGCCTCAAGGTTTGACATGTTGTGCATTTAGATGCTCTTTTGCATACCTCGGTTGTGGTTATTTGAGTTGCCTTTCTATAAGCTCTAACCAGTCTGACCGTTCTCCTCTGACCTCTGGCATCAACAAGGCATTTGCGCCCACAGAACTGCCACTCATTGGATATTTTCTCTTTTACGACCATTCTCTGTAAATCCTAGAGATGGTTGTGCGTGAAAATCCCCGTAGATCAGCAGTTTCTGAAATACTCAGACCACCCCATCTGGCACTAACAACCGTCCCATTTTTAAAGTGACTTAACTCACCTTTCTTCGCCATTCTGATGCTCGGTTTGATCTACAGCAGATCGTCTAGACCAGGGGTCTCAAACTCGCGGCCCGCGGGCCATTTGCGGCCCTCAGTGCAATATTTTGTGGCCCGCGCCGACCGCTGTACTCTGACAGAATCAGCGGAGTGGGGAGAGAGAGCGCTCCCCGCTCCGCTGATTCTATCCGTACACAGCGCGCTTGTCACTCAATGCGCGTTGTCGCGCGCGTTCTGATCAGCTGTGTTGTCGCGCGCGTACTCAAGAGCGGGTGATATCACGCGCCTACTGAAGGGCGGGACCGAGGGTGTGTCGCGTCGCAGGGGCACTTTTGATCATTTTGGAAGGGCACTTTCTATGCAAGACTAAAAAGGGCATGTGCTCTGCACAGGTTGAGCCCTATGTGTGCACGTGCCTGCCCTGCATCTTATAATAATTGCCGTGAGATTGTGTTGATATTATAGGTAGATACAGACTGGTACAGACTGATGTGACTGGAGTGGGGTGGGGGTGTTTTATTTATACATATATACGCCTTTTTTTAGGTGAGGGAATGGAAGTTTTGAGTGAGTTCCCCCATTTTTTTTCCCTAGGACTTCAATAAGTCAAAGTACAGGTCTAGACTTAATGATGATCATCTTCAAGCCATACTGAGGGTCTCAACTGCTTCCGCTCTAAAGCCAAATGTGGTTCAGATTTGTGAGAAGAAGCGCTGTCAAGTCTCTGGCAGCAAGAAGTAGGCAAAAGATGCTATGTTCAGAAGAACTGTTCATAATCTTCACTCAATGTTCTATTAATGTTCAGGACACTTCATGTTCAGAAGAAATAATTCAAACTGTTAATAATGACATTTGAGGACTTTTTTTTGTGAAATCCCTTATGCGGCCCAACCTCACCCAGACTTTGCCTCCTGCGGCCCCCAGGTAAATTGAGTTTGAGACCCCTGGTCTAGACCATGTCTACATGCCTAAATGCGTTGAGTTGCTGTCAAGTGACTGACTGATTTGAAATTTCCATTAACAAGCAGTTGGAGAGGTGTACCTAATAAAGTGGCCAGTGAGTGTAACTCATGAACTATAGTCCAAACATGCTTTTTTATTTTTTTATTTAAAGATTTCCATTTTGTGTTTCACAAAACTGAGTGACAACAAAATTATGAGTACATAAGGAGATTTTTTATTTTTAGAATACCTTTAAGCAGTGACTGGCTCACAATCCTAAATTAAGGAAACTACTGGCATGGACAGGAACCTGCTAAAAATATCATATCTGTACTGTTGGCCAAACATTCTTATCTGTGAGTCCACAGTAATACATCAGAAAAGTGAAGTAAATCTGACCTAATTTACCCCTTTTCTCTGACTTTCAGTGTGCACCTGTGTAGTTCATAAACGCTGCCATGAACTGATCATCACTAAATGTGCAGGTTTGAAGAAACAGGAGGACACCGCAGAGGAGGTGAGAGGAACCTGTAGAAAAAGCAGAGGATTTTCTCAATAGTATCTGAATGTAGCTTTGCTTATGCAAGCTAATGTCAGACTCAATGCACTCAAAAGAAGTTTGTGACGTCACTGTGAGGGGAAGGTATAGGTGTGCGCATTAAAAAGGTGATGCACCTGCACCAGGCCTGCATCCAGACCCCTCTCACATTTTCTCTTATTATCGCAGTCGATTCTAATTAACACAAATTTCAGTTTGAACTCAGCGTTCCTTGTTTCATAATCGCAAAGTACTACTCAAACTGTACTCAAATGTTTATTACGTTTTTAGGAAGCGTCTAAAGGGCAACATCTATACAAAAACTGTACCCTGGAGTGGAATGATATACAGTTATAGTCAAAATTATTAGCCCTCCTGTGAAGTTTTCCCTTTTTCCTTTTTAAATATTTCCCAAATTATGTTTAACAGAAGGCGGCACAGTGGCTCTGTGGCTAGCACAGTTTCGTCACAGTAAGAAGGTTGCTGGTTTGAGTCCGGCTGGGCCTGTAGACGTTTCTTTGTGGAGTTTGCATGTTCTCCCTGTGTTGGCGTAGGTTTCCTCCGGGTACTCCGGCTTCCCCCACGATCCAAAGATATGCGGTACAGGTGAACTGAATAAACTAAATAGGCCGTAGTGTATGAGATGTGTGTGAATGAGTGTGTATGAATGTTTCCCAGTAGGGGGTTGCTGCTGGAAGGGCTTCTGCTGCATAAAACATGCTGGAATAGTTGGCAGTTCATTCCACGGTGGTGACCTCTGAAATAGAAACTAAGCCAAAGGAAAATGAATGAATGTTTATCAGTGAATGGGTTTTTCACAGTATGTCCTATAAGAAAGTCTTTTGTTTTATTTTGGCTAGAATAAAAACATAACTCCATTTTTTATAAAAACATTTTAAGTTCAATATTATTTGTATATATATCAAAGTTGGCGTTTCTGTGTGGAGTTTGCATGTTCTCCCTGCGTGTGCGTGGGTTTCCTCCGGGTGCTCCGGTTTCCCCCACAGTCCAAAGACATGCGGTACAGGTGAATTGGGTAGGCTAAATTGTCCGTAGTGTATGTGTGTGAATGAGTGTGTGTGGATGTTTACCAGTGATGGGTTGCAGCTGGAGGGGCATCCGCTGCGTAAAACGTATGCTGGATAAGTTGGCGATTCATTCCGCTGTGGCGACTTCAGATTGATGAAGGGACTAAACCCAAAAGAAAATGAATGAATGAATTTATATTATTACATTCATTCATTTAGTAACTCCATCGTGCAACTCCACTCACTGACTTCTTCATCTGTTTTGACATTAAAGTTAGCCTACTCGTCACCTCCTGTGGTTGCAAATAACAGTACAATGGCGAGCGTGTCAAGTCTGCAACTCACTGCTGTACGTTAAAAACTTCGATAGTTGGGTTTAGGGTTGGAGTAGGTGTAGACATTAAAAGCTATGATGGATTGGGAAAGGTGTAGACGTTAATAACTATGATGGTTGGGTTTAGGGTTGTGGTCGGTATAAACGTTAATATCGCCACTGCCTCGCATGGTTCAGGATTGGTAGAGCTACGCATCGATGAATTGGCTCTTCAGTGTTTGAACACTCAGTAATGATTAAATCACACTGAACTGAGCTAAACTAAACTGAACTGAACTTAAACACTAAAACCTGAACCACACTGTTCCAGTTACTGAACCACACTGTTCCAGTTACTATGACCATTTATGTGAAGCTGCTTTGACACAATCTACATTGTAAAAGCGCTATACAAATAAAGCTGAATTGAATTGAATTAATAATGGGTGGGTGATGGATTTAGATGTGTGGAGTAGGTGTAGGTGTTAATAACTGATGTACAGCGCCATCTTGCAGACAACATAGTTTTGACATGTGGGTCTCCAACTTCAAGTTACACCTCTAACGTACTACAAGTTACACCGCTAAGGTCTTTTCATGTTACGTTCATATCGTGTAGTCCACAGACAGACCCAACTCCTGAACCGTCTAGATTTTTACACTCTTGACGTCTGTGAAGAAAAAAAGAAATCACACCTGAGAAATTGATGTGACTTCATTCTCCATATGAGAAGCGTCTTTAAGCTGCTATCACCAAAAACGTATTTTAAATAAAATATTATTTTTTTATTATAATATTTTATTATTGTATATTATTCGATGACCATTTTTTTTTTGGATTTTTTAAAAATGTTTGTATTGTTTGGGTTCTTACCAAAATCTGATTCAATTCCATGTCAACAGTTCCTTTAGAATATTTTTTCCCAATACTTTCCCCCCCTCTGTATGTCTTTTTATTTTTTGTTGGTTTTTGTGTGTCGTTAAGTAACACTATAAAAAAATCACAGCAGTTTTACCATGTTTTTTTTTTTTTTTTTAATCTTGTATGAGCAATGCATGAGCATCTTACTGATCCTTTATTGCCCCCTGCAGGTAGGATCCCAGCGTTTCAGCGTCAATATGCCTCATAAATTCCGTATTCATAACTACAAAGTCCTCACATTCTGTGACCACTGCGGTTCATTACTGTGGGGCCTGCTGCGGCAAGGGCTTCAGTGTAAAGGTGAGAGCAGCATTCTGGGAAATGTAGTTATATGGCTACCCCATTCACAGAAAAAGCTGGAAATATCCAGGATTTTCTAAAGCTTGGGACACATTCAGGGTCCCTGATCAAAGTCAAAAGATGAGTTGTTCATTGTTAATTCATGTTAGCTTATGCATTTACTAAAGTTAACTACTGTAATACAACCTTATTGTAAAGTGGTACCAAGGTCATAACGACTGCTTGTGTAACTGTCCTGAGTCAAGCGCACCAACATGCAGAAAGTCACTCATAAGAACACACTATTATTACTGATCACTGACCTATTTTAAGACTGAAATTATCACTTATCCTGTCACTGAATGTGTGTGCATTTTACAATTTTGCAGACACTCATTTTATTTTAAGTGTTGCATAATCAAAATATACATACCTAGAAACAAGCTCTAATATTTGAAAGTGAAAGTTTGACAGCTTGGTAGTAGTAAAGTGCCAATTCAAAATAATGATGATTCATTTTAAAACCTGCTTAATTATGAAAACTACTGCTTAACAGCCATGTTTCTAGTATTATTTTAGATATTATTATAGTATTGTTAATATTTTTATTTTCATTTACATTTTTAATCATGTTTAACCACAATTGTTTGTTTTTATTTATTTGTATTTGTATTGCTATTATTAAATCCACATTTTTATTATTTCATTTTATTTTAGTTTAATTTTTAAAGGAATAGATGTAATGGATCAACAATATATACTCACACTAACATGTAATACAATACATCCTAGGTTTTCATGCCATCTCCTTTTTCTGTCCTCAGTTTGTAAGATGAATGTGCACAAGCGTTGTGAAATTAATGTAGCTCCTAACTGTGGAGTGGACGCCAGGGGCATCGCTAAGGTGCTGTCTGACCTTGGAGTCACTCCAGATAAACTCTCCGGCAGCGTCCAGAGAAGAAAAAAGGTGAGAGGGAGAATCATCAGGAATTAGTGTTTAAGAGGGTGTGTAGGGCTGTAAGGTCAAAAGCCTTGAACTCATGAAGCTTTAGAATATACGAAATACAGTACTGATTACTTATTTATATCATCATAATCTTCACAAATTGGGTAGAAAATAGGAAATACATTCTGATTAACGATGACTAGGGCCAGAGAGGATCTGTGGATGTTTTTTTTTTTTTGCTAATTCTTCATTTTGATTGCATAGGAGCAGAAAAATAAAATACATTTTTTACTTTTATTTAAGGTTTACAATGCAAATCCAGTTAGAAACAACTGTTTGGTAAACAAAGTTAAAAGTCTCTACTAAAGGACAAAACTAGCACTTTACATATTATATTGCACATAAACATTTAAACATTTGCAAATATTTAAACATTTGCATATTAATGCAGATTTTTTTCAGAACTTATTATAAATGTTACACAAAGAAACAAAAAGACAGTAACACTTTATTTTGATGGTCCTTTTTAATATTAGTAGACTGTCTGCTTAAATTCTGTTGACACGGCTCCTTCAACAGACATTTAACTGACTATAAGAAACTTAGGAAGAGCGTGTCATCTTACACTAACTATCTCTTAACCAAATCTAACAATCTAACAAGTCTACTTATAATCTAATGAGAATTAGTTGGCATGTAGATGCAATGTAGCTTAAATTCAACAAACAGACCATCAAGATAAAGTTTGACCAAAAAGACTAATAATAAATAATGAAATGAATAGTGGCCTGAAAAAAGAATATAATTCGGCCTCCTGAAGTGTAATGTTGTTGTTTTTTCCTGTTTTCTACAAAGATCTCTCAGGGTCCAGATCCACATCCCTTACCCATATCTCCACTGTTAGAAGAGGACCGATGCAAATCTGCACCCACATCACCATGTGACCAGGGTAAACAAACACTTTAACAGCTTTGCGTCTTTGGCTAAATTAGTTTTTTTTAAAGTGCTAAATATGATAATGATTCAATAAGATACACTGTTTTCTGCAGAGTCCCCACACTTCTTTTAAGTACTTAAAAGTATTTATCAAAGATTTTTTATTATATTTATTAAATTTATTAAACATATTTATTTAAGATTTATGGATTCAAGGCCTGGAAAGTACTTAAAAACAAAGAGAGGTCCTTAAAAGTGCTTGAATTAAATTTGAAATAAAATTAGTTTATGGTTTGATTTTAAGAATGGTCCTCAATTGTCAAAAACAGAACAAAAAAAAGAGAGAAATTCTTAAATTAAAAATGTTAAATTTAAATCTTGTACTACAACACTGACAAATAATGCACATTTGATCAATATTTCAGAAACTGCATTTGTATATCACCAGTATTGTCACAAACACCAGCGATCTAATCCTGACAGATCGCTGGTAAACACATAGAGTGCATAGAACTACAAATTCACCATTATATGGACTACAAGATCCAGTCATGCACTGCACACACACACACACACACACACACACACACCGGTTCCTAATCATGGCTGATTGGTGTTCAGAATTTCTTCTTCACTTTAACAAACCTCAGCAACTAGTGTGTGTGTGTCAGTGCTGCTTTTAAAGTCCGTGTCATCAGTCCTGAGCAATCAGCCAGGATTAGGAACCGGTGTGTGTGTGTGTGTGTGTGTGTGTGTATGCATATAATAGTCCAAATAATGGCGGATTTGTAGTTCCATGCGACCTGTGTGTTTACTTGCTATCTGCCAGGATTAGATCGCTGGTCATTGTGACATTGAGTTCAACAATTTATTTAAACTCAAATAAAGTTCAAATAAATTGTATTTAAACTTTATAAAGTTCACCTTTTAAACTTAATTTGGCCTGGGTTTCTAAATCTTCTAAAATGTCCAGGATTGGTCTTTTGCTTTCGCTTTCTTAAACTGTCGTTAATCGTATGAATTTTTGCATAAGAGCGAGAGAAACATTAAATAATTCATTCTTTAAACGATTCAGAAAAAAACTTTACGATCAACTCTGAGAGGATGAAATGACTGGTCTAAACTGTGCACCATTAGCATTTGCCTTATTTAAATTATCTGTACATTTTAATTTCGTAATTATTATAATTTTTTGAAATATTGTTTGTTTTCATTCATTTTTCTGTCATTTATTTCTAATTTGCTCTATAGTTTTTATACAGTTGAAATCAAAATTATTAAACCCCCTTTAAATTTTTTTTCAAAGCGATGTCTGATAATATTTTATCATGTCCTTTTTGTTTTATTTCGGCTATAATAAAAGCAGTTTTAAATTTTTAAAAAAACATTTTAAGGTCAAAATTATAAGCGCCTTTAAGCTATAATTTTTTTCGTTTGTCTACGAAACAAATCATCATTATACAACTACATGCCTAATTACCTTAATCTGCCTAATTAACTTAGTTAAGCCTTTAAATGTCAGTTTAAGCTGTATAGAAGTGTCTTGAAAAATATCTAGTCAAATATTATTTACTGTCATCATGGCGAAGATAAAATAAATCAGTTATTAGAAATGAGTTATTAAAACTTTTAAGTTTAGAAATGTGTTGAAAAAAAATTCTCCGTAAAACAGAAATTTGGGAAAAAAATAAACAGGGGAGCTAATAATTCTGACTTCAACTGTACATATCTAAAAGGCATTGGCATTCAAGTTTGCTTTGAGCCTGAAAGAGAGAGAAGCAGATTTTACCTGTCAGTGAGTGCACATGGCTCTTGAATAGCATAAAAGTAAGAGAAATAGTAAATTTCTTTCTTTTATTTCTAGTCTTTTTTTTTACTTTAACCCATTGAAAAGAAAGAGGGTAAAACAGTGTCATAATAAATAAAATTATTTGTAAAAATTAAATGATGTTTTGTTTGTCACATATAGTTAACTGTTTATGTAATGTGGGTAAATGGTATGTTTCAATCTGGCTACCATCGCAAGTATATTTCAAGCCTGTGGAAGGCACTGGACTCCAGTACTCCAGAAACGGTGTTATATGCTTATTTTATTATTTCATAAAATACTATGCCTAGGTATATCAATATTATTATAGGGCTGTAAATATAACCGCTCTGTTTGAGGCAGCATGTAATTTTGACTTATTCTTAAAGGGTTAGATGGCTCAAAAATCCCGTAAGGCTTACGGTAAGCGTGTGTTGTGATTTAGCTCTTTGTTTGTGATCTGCAGATATAAAGGATCTGGAGAACATCAGGAAGGCACTTTCGTTTGATCACCGCAGTGAAGAGATGAAACAGGCCTCAGAGGGGGTCTCAGAGGAGACGGGGGAGGCCAGGGAGAACGGAGAGGTGAAGACGGTTCAAGCCAAAAGGATGATGCTGGAAGACTTCTCCTTTATCAAAGTGCTTGGAAAAGGCAGCTTTGGCAAGGTGGAGATTTTTTCTGAGTACACTGGAAAAAAATTATGTCTGCAAAATTGTTGCATTTATTTATTTACTATTTATTGTTGAACTCAAACAAATTAGATTTAGTCAATTGTTTGCTTAAATTCAGCCCAAATAAATAGTTTACAACCACTTAAATGTTTTTTGTAAATTCAAGGAATTATCTTTGAATCTTTTTATTCAGTGCATAACACTGTCCTAACTACATGTGACGCTACAAGATTTATCTGTACGCACCAAACGCGACACGACAAAACGGAAACATTTCAATAATATAGCCATTCAGTAGCACAGATTAGTGCAATACACTCCCAACCAACAATTAATACATATTAAACCTCTTTAACATTATTAAAGGGTCATGACACCCCCTACCTTAGGTTCAAGTCTACCTCAAAATCTTTTTAAAATATGCATCATAGTGGGTGTGGAGCTCCGCGATCAGAGGCAGGAGTGGGCGTGGCCAGCAGAGCAGGAGAGAAGGAGGGGAGCGAACAACTGTTGTCAGTCAGCTCACAAAATGAAACCCAAACCATGAGGAGCAGCATTACTTTATAGTTGACAAAGTTAAAATGCAAAGAAATAAACAGTAATTTAATGCCCTGCATTTGTTATTCATAATTTAATATACACACAACCACAATTTATATCATTATAAAGATAATCGTGTTTATAAAAACACTAAATGAGGACTCTTCCCTCAATCCCCGGGTCTGAATGCAGACTCAGTGCTGCAGGTCTCTTGCCCTGTCTATTTCAACCATTAGCCCTGCTGGTAATCTGGAGGATTTAGGTGAACACAGCAGCACAGCGATGTTTTTAAATGTGAACAAACTCCGGATAAAAGACAAGTCTGCCATTCTCCAATCCCATACTGCTCTCCTGACAGAAATGCTTGCTGCACACAAACAGCTTTGCTGTATTGGCTCTGACAGCATCACGAGGGAAACCATGCAACAAACCCCATGGAACATGGAAACAAACACATATGACCCTTCATGAACAGTTAAATACTGTGCACCGTGGGTCCGTGTCTCACAGCTAGCTTGGCACTGGCAGGTCTGCCTTGCCTTCGGAAAGCACATGCTCTCATGAATAATTAAGAAGCAGGCTCTTCTCATAGGATAAGAAAACTCCGCTATGAATAATAATGAGAAACCGACGCGTCATCTTTGTACTTGCAATTTTGCGCAATGTTTCCGATGTTGATCCTGTCCCAAAAATAATTTTAAACGAGGAAGCTGAAATTAGCTGACAAAAGCTCAGAATGATCCAATTTTCCCCACAATTAAAGCTGAAAGGTGCTAATGTTGTCTCAACTGATGCTCAACACACACAAATATGTTTATATCTAAAAAAAAAAGTACTCAAGAAAGAAAGAAAGAAAGAAAGAAAGAAAGAAAGAAAGAAAGAAAGAAAGAAAGAAAGAAAGAAAGAAAGAAAGAAAGAAAGAAAGAAAAAGTTTCAAAATGACAATGTTTTTGTAGAAATATTTTTAGACCTTTTTGGAAGAACTAGTGCAAGACACTTATTGGCTTAATATCAGTGAAAATAAAATCCAGTTAAAATGAAAAGTATCTAATTACGGTTAATGTTTGAGTGACAGATATACATTTTGATGAATCGAAACTTATTGTTGTCTTGAATACAGGTGATGCTGGCTGAGTTAAGAGGCACTGATGAGGTTTTTGCTGTGAAAGTGTTGAAGAAAGACGTTATCCTGCAGGACGATGATGTAGACTGCACAATGACTGAAAAACGCATTCTAGCCCTGGCCAGGAAACATCCCTATCTTACACAACTCTACTGCTGCTTTCAGACTAAGGTAAGAGCCAGGACAATTTGTCCTCTACGATCAGTTTAGTCTGATTGCAAACTAAATTAAAAAAAAGTATGGTTGTAATGAGTTACAAAGTGACTACACTGTAATCATCTACTGAACAAAAGTAAAGTAAGGGTTTACTGTTTAGGTGCTTTTATTAATGTACTTGCCTTCAATACTGTAAATAAAAAATAGGTATGTATAAATCAATTCAGTGAAGCAGAGAAACTGTATTATTCATTATGCATAAATATTAAGCAGAATAATTATGTTTTTAACAACAGAAACAATAGTTGTCAAATAAATGCCAAATAGTTAGTTTGGTATTTTATTGTAGAGTAATAATATTTGTTAAATAAATAATGTTATTTCTGTTTTAAACGTGTTGAGAATTAATTTTTTGTAAATTTGAAAGTTGATGCATGAGTCAAATTTAAAGAATTACAATTTTAAGATTATGCATTGAGATTTGTAAGAATTGTAAATTGTGAGTTAAGTAATTAAATTCCTCACTGAGTAATTAAATACATTTTTTTTCAACATTCAACATTGAAAGTTTATTAAGTTAAGTTTAGTTAAGTTAAAGAAGTTAAATTAAAAGATATAATGATGTAATTGCTTTTTATAAGTTACTTACCCAACACCGCTTTTTCAGTCTGTCACCAAACAATACAACATTCTTATTTACCAATGGTCTCTCACAGACTGCCACTAGATGGAGCTGTAATATTACGTGTCATCAGGTATTCAGAAAGGAATCAGTTGCCGGTATCTGAGATGATCATTTGAGCCATTTTGAAAATCTCCCAGCAGTATAGCTTTAATCTAAAAAGGGCAAGATTGGGACTTAAGAAATAACCTCTAAATTGGTAAAAAAAGACAACCATGGATACTAGAAAAGATTCTGTCTTTAAAATTGGATATTCATGTTTCCAGCTGGAAAAAAAAAAAAAGATTTCATTACTATGAATACCAGCTAATAAAATAATAATAATTGGTTAAATACAAAAAATAAACTTAAAATAAAATCTGCTATAATAGTAAGCCTTGAAATTAAAATGAAATTTGAATAAATAAAACATTTATTGGCGCATTTCCTTTTTTCTTATTTGTTTTCCAAACTATAAAAGATACTAACTTACACAAATGTTTTTTATGTTCTTAAAGCCTTTATATTAATAAAGCCTTATATAAAACAGCAGTTCAACAATTGTATTATTATTATTATTATTATTATTATTATTATTATTATTATTATTATTATTATTATTATTATTATTATTATTATTATATACTCTAGATGTTCTATTTGGTTTTTTTTTACAATCGTTTTCCATCTAGTCATAATAGTAAACGATTAGCTCAGGAAAGTCATTAAGTATCCACAGATCTTTTTTATCACTAAATTAATTAACGGAGCATTTTTTAAAATGATATATTAGCATTATATTAGCTTGTACATGTCTTATATTTTACATGTGTCTTTAGTGCTGGCTTATTTTTCCTACATTTTTTCAATTTATTTATGAAACCCAATTTTGAAATGTTTTTGTGTCAATTATTACATTACAGATATATAGACTAGTGCTGGAAAAAAAATATTGCGTTAATTTGAACATAATTTATATGTGTGTGTGCTGTTTGTATTTAGAATGTTTCTATTGAATATATCCCTCCTGTGAAATTGCAATTCTTCCATAAATAATCCCAAGCTTTTTTTTTTTTCATAATATTTTTTTTTTTTTTCGTTTTTGGTTTGTACACATTGAAATACAGCATTTTACAAACATTTTTTTACAAAAATAATCTTGTTGCATTTACAAATTATACAAAATATAAGGATATATATATATATATATATATATATATATATATATATATATATACAGTTGAAGTCAGAATTATTAGCCTCCCTGAATTATTTGCCACCCTGTTAAGTTTCCCCCCAATTTCTGTTTAAAAGAGAGCAGGTTTTTTCAACACATTTCTGAACATAATATTTTTAATAACTCATTTCTAATAATTGATTTATTTTATCTTTGCCCTGATGACAGTAAATAATATTTTACTAGATATTTTTCAGGACACTTCTACACAACTTAAAGGCTTAACTAGGTTAATTAGGTTAACTAGGCAGGTCAGGGTAATTAGGCAAGTTATTGTATAACGATGTTCTGTTGACTATCGAGAAAGAAATTAGCTTAAAGGGGCTAATAATTTTGTCCCTAAAATGGTTCTTAAAAAATTAAAAACGTCTTTTTAATTTTGGGGATTGGGGATAATTCTGACTTCGCCTGTATGTATGTATATATATATATATATATATATATATATATATATATATATATATATAATAAAAACTAAAAGCAAACAACTAAACAAACAAACAAAATATAAACAAATAATAAAAATAAAAGTAAAACTGCCTCTCTTTTTGTCATTAATGGTAATCTATTCAAACATGACAATTATAATCAGATGAGTACCAGGTACAGCAAATATATATTGAAGAATGTATTAATACAGAACTATAAGCCTGGAACTGCATTATCCATCAAAAATGATTCATCAACTGCTTCCTCTGTTAATTCCACTTCTTTGATAAAACAAATGAAAGGACTCCATATGTTTTCAAATCCACGTTGTTTAGCTTTTAGTATATAAGATATTTTTAATGGCAGACTTGACAACATTTGTCGTATTGAGTTGCGTTTGGTCTTTGCGTCTTTGTCCATAGCAAAGCTACACATCTTTTGGCATAAAGCAAGCTGAGGTCTATAAATACTTGTTAGCTTCTACTATAGTTTGCATCCTCTGGGTATAAACCTAGCAAAAAAAAAAGCTTTGGGTCGAGGAGGATTTGTTTTGAAATAATTTTTTCCCTTATGACTCTCACCTCTTCCCAAAATAATTACATTTTTGTGCACTTCCAAATACAGTGAATCAAGGTTCCTCTAGCTTCCAAACATTTTGTACATATATTTGCTATGTTTTTATTATTATTGGTATGTACCAATTTTTTACATAATATTTTTATTACCTTATTTCTAATAACTAATTTTGTTTGCATTGCCATGATGAAAATCAGGTTGATGTCACAACTCAATGTCAGTCTGACATCAATGTCCAACGTCCGACGTAAAATCAACCAAATATCAATAATGATGTTATAGCTTGATGTTGTGTGGACGTTATCAATATGACGTCTATCAGATGTTTGATATTGGTTGCCATACCTGACGAATAAATATCAGTATTTACATCAGTATGACGTTGGTTTAAGATGCTGGCTCAGTGTTGGATTTTGGTCACTTTCCAAAACAACCTAAAATCAACAAAATATCACCATCATTTGATGTCGTTATTGGACATCAAAATAACATTGTCCTTAGGTGCTGGCTAGACATTGAATTTTAATCATCTGCACAACCTAAATCTAACCTAATATTAACATCTCAAGACATTGTGTGCCTGCTGGGCAGTAATTAAATGCACTAAAGAATGTTAGGTATACACTAGGGATGCCACTGTTCTCAATATAATATTGAACCGTGCGGTACGACCTCCACGTTTCAATTCGGACTTGTGAATTACGGTTTTCTCGGTTTTGCGTTTAAATAATTTATAATTTTATATCTCCCCGAATTGACTGTGCGTGCCTCTAAATCAGGGGTCACCAATCTCGGTCCTGGAGGGCGGTGTCCCTGCAGGGTTTAGCTCCAACTTGCCTCAACACACCTGCCTGGATGTTTCAAGTATACCTAGTAAGACCTTGATTAGCTTGTTCAGGTGTGTTTGATTAGGGTTGGAGCGAAAATCTGCAGGACACCGGCCCTCCAGGAACAAGTTTGGTGACCACTGCTCTAAATCTATGAGCTGAGATGAGGAAACTCCTCTAAAGTTAGGGGGCGCTTGACCATCATTCCACACTTTAACATTGCGAGTGGCGGTGAAGTGAGGCAACAGTACAAGGAAGTGCCGGCGAAGTTAGGCAACAGTACGAGAAAGCGCCGGTGTTTTTCAAATCTGCTGTGTGAGGACATTTCGGTTTTGCCGGTAAGTATAATGCCAATAAAAGAAAAAAAAGTGAACAAAAAATAACTGTGTGCAAGCATTGTTTCACACATATAACCATGACTGCACATCTGCAGCGCCATCACCCAGCAATATCACTGTCTGAAGGCAGAATAGCAGAGAAGGTAATAAAGTAGTCCAAATAGCAACAATCCCTTGCTGAATCTTTCAAGCAAACATCCCCAACTGGTTCTGAGAGACACATAAAAATAACAAAGGCAGTGCGGGTGTTTATTGCTTAATATTTGCAGCCGTTTTCGGTGATTGGACGTGGGCTTTTGTCATTTTATAAAAGCACTCGATCCGCGTCACAGACTACAGTCTCGCATTTTTTCAGCACCGAGATAATTAAGATGGTTTATTTATGTTTACTTAAGTACAAATATGTTTATTTGAAATGGCCAAATTATCTTTATTAACTTCACATGTGTGTTTTTTTCAAAGTGCAGGATTTTATGTGTTCCCCAGTTTGTATATGGGCTACCAGCAGCTCTGAGATTTCAGTGTAAACATTTTTTATACAATACACTAGGAACTAGTGTACTTTTCTTGGCTTTTAAGTAAGTTCTGCAATAAATCGTTTTTATCTCCTTAACCTCTTACTGTTCCTATTGCCTATAGAATAAAAAAAGCGTGTCCATGCATGAGAACCGAACCGAAAACCGTGTTAAAAAACAGAGGTATTATTGAACCGTGGGCTAACTGTATTGTTGCATTTCTAGTTTACACATATCCACAATTACACATACACATAAGCTGCGTCCCAAATGGCACACTATGCACTCATGCACTATGTACTTATGCACTTACACACTCAGCAGAATAGTATATGTCTGTATTGTCATCCCAAATGGAACACTAATGCTTTTTTACTAAGCGGAAATTCAAACCGTTTCCATGATGACGTTTGACGGTTGCCAAATCAGTGA